CTCCACTATCAGAGAAATTAAATGCATATTTAACAGCTAATATATATTCTTTAGAAATGAAGTTTAGCTTGAGTACTCGGAGAGATTTATTCGGTGTAAACACCAAGGATAACCCATGAGTCTGAAGTAGACTTAGTTCCAGTGGGTTCCTTCTGGTGGTGAGTGGGCAGTACACCGGGAGACAATCCCCTACTCTTTCACAAAGAGTGCTCTACGTTTTTTAACGTGCACATGGCCCATAATGCATACGGGATCAACAGCTTAAACGTCTCATCCAAAAGACGGTGCGCTATCATAACTTGAATTCAGCTCTATTATTATATTACCTATAATTGTTTTACAGTCTTATTAATATGATTATAATGGTATTATTACAGTATTATTACTACAGTATTTTTTATTAGTATAATCGCAACTTGAATCCTAGAAATTGCAAATTGCAAGTGAAGTGCTGCGAAGTACAACTGCATATAAATGTTCTTTGAACAAAATTATTTATGCGAGTCAAGTGAAAATAATGAATAATAAAAATATAACAAATAATATGAGACATGACCCATTGTCTATATTAGAACACTTCTCATTGGGTAACAAATAATGTTTTAAAAATTTCTATGTATGCGGAAAATGTAGTTGATTACCAAAGGTTACAATTTTTATTTTGAAGACTGCATGGTCTAGGAAGTGTACATTTTTTTATGGGGCAAGTTTCCAAGGGCGGGTTTTCTAGGGGCGAGTTGACTGCCAAAGAGTGTTGCCAAAGTGCGAGCCAGCGTGTTATTTGATCACAAGTGCGAGACATATCACAAGTGTGAGCCAGCGAGCCATGACGTCACGACAATTGATAGAGACGTTAGCCAGTTGTGCGAGGTATCGGCTGAGATTTGTGGAGTACAATTCAAAAAACAACTATAGGTCTAATAATGAATTATTGTGATGTTAAATAGACAATGTTAGCTATAAAAGAGCGACGTTGTTTTTCATTGGGACCTTCGTCTTCAAGGCTAGGCCTATACCATCCTAGCTAGTCTAGGCCTAGAGTAGGATAAGGCTAGCGCGACATGCGGACGTTGGTGCGAGTAGGTTAGTCTACAAACGTCGCCTAAAGTAATTGATTTTACCCGGCAGAACGAAAGAAGGAAACTCCGCTTTTCAGTCGTCTTAGGCACTCGTTTTTTGACAAACAATGACCTTTCAGAGGTCAAATTGCTGTCAAGAATATGAATTGGCTGCTTCGCAGCAATAACTTACTTATGACAAAACTGGAGACAATCTTTGATCAACTCGGTTGAATATATTTCACCTAGTGGGTTATGAGGATTCACGAGGAACAGTCCACAGATATTTATCCCCTGAAAAATTAAAAAGAATATAAGTTAGATTATTAAACTATCAAAGAAATATGGTAAATCATATCAAATATAGGTCATAAAACATGATAACCTACTTTACTGAATAGCACCATGCAGTGCTACAAGCTTTCAGTTTCCGGGAGGGTCATTGGGGATTGCCCCACCCAACCCACTTGGAAACTGAGAAAAGTGTCTTTTTTTTAATCTTCAATGTTAGCAGGCATGTATAGCTTTCAAAGGCCTATTCACTAAAATACCTTACCTATCCCCTTCAGGCCAAGGGACCAAAAGCATATGAAATATAAAAACTACATTTATGAAGTGGGACAATTTGTGCTTAGACGGCAGAGCCGAAATTAACTTACCTTTGCTTTTGCTTCTTCTAAACTTTTCTCAAGTTTTTCAACTGTTAGTTGATATGGTTTTGTTTCATTTTCTTTTATCTGTAATGGAAATGTTAAAACATAGGGGCAGCTTAAGGTTAAGTAATGAAGTGTACCTCCTCCTCTACTATTTACAATTACAATACACTTAAAATAATATATAAATAAAACTCAAAACAGTTTCAAAATAAAATAGATGAGATATTTAATGGGTAAAAAGCATAATAAATTTTGACTGATAATCAAGGCTTTACTCAAAAAATTAATCATTATTAATACCATAATAAATAATTAATGATGCCATTTTCTAGGAACACATAAAGGCTATGAATATGTAAGTTCATTATACAATATACAACCATTATGTAGAGGAAGTCAAGTGGGTGAGTAATGATGACCTCATCAATAGAGAGGGATAGGGTCACAGAATGAAAGAGTATAGATGTTGAAGCAATAACTCTTCAATGGTCATGACATCATCAGTTGGTAGATGATATAGTCGTCATATGTTCTCCGATGTTTGGAGATGGTGTTCACGACCGCATAAAAGATACCAACAAACACACAAGTGGGGTCATGACCAGGGCTTCCGGATCATCAATTCAACACAAGTTCACCATCACAGATCATGCACACACAACATAATCATGTACTAAATTAGGATGCCAGCATATTGGACAAAGAGCAACATCAGAAGAAATGGCGTATTAGAGAAGCAATATAAAGACAAAAAGAAAACACCATGAACAGAGACCAAGGCGCCCATGATCTCCCAAATATCTACAATGATCTCATGATGATTTCACCTTACCCGGCCCCGCACCATCTCCAAACATCAGAGAAGGTACGATGACGTCATCAACCAACTGATGATGTCATGACCACTGAAGTGTAACACCTACAGTCAGTTGAAAAGAATTATGATACAATTCTCCAATTCCGTTTTTATTCCAATGATTTTTACCAAAAAAAAAACCAAAAAACTTGTTTTTCATGCTTATCAAATAATATTTAAAAAAGCCTGAAAGTTTGCACTTGACATTGATGGAGCCTAGCTGGGCCTCTAGGTGTAAGTCCCCTGCCTATCGTTTATTGTACCATAAAGCACACCAAACAAAGCCAGTCAATCTTTTTCATCTTCTCAATTCCTATATAGAACTACAATAAAACATCATTGTGACTGTATATTTCCCAGAGTGAAATAGTACCAAACGATTTCATTCTTTGCCTAGGCCTATCCACCTTGCGGAAAAACGGTCACCTGCTAGGTCAACAAAACGGATGTTTTGATTTTGAACACATTGTATTGTTGTCCATAATGTTGCATGATGGGATAAAATAGTTGGAGGTAATTTTAAGATAATTTATCGGAGAAATTATAAGTGCTGCGGAAACATGGCCTTAGTCGTCCTTCTCCCTCAAGCATTGTAATCCTTCTTTATTGCTGTATCATAATAGTGGTAATACTCCTATTCCAAAAACATTTCAGACTACCAAATTTTCTTTGACAAAAAACTGCTTGTATGCCCTTATATAGTCACACACATTCTTGTCAAATATAATGTGATAGTCTGGATAGGCTATATAAATTTGACAAACTAAATCAAATGAAATAAAAGATATAAAAAAGGCCTCCTTTTTTATTTTTTCAAAAAGTTCGGGCAAACACTCTGGTTTACACTCTTACAGCTTACCTCTGAGTGGAGATGGACTGGATGGATGTTGACTTTAGCTCTGAGAATTGAGTCTTGCATTATGCCCCCATAGTATGGACTTGGTGTCATAAATGCGTCTTTAAAAACATAAACAATAAATGATATTATATTAAAAACATTACATTCCGATGCCTATAGTATATTCAAGCCTTGTATATAAAGGCCAAATGTGTCAATAAATAATTGTAATTGCAATGTTGTTCCTAGTTAATGCAAATGGTTTGATGTTATTTGTTTAGATTTTTAAATTGTAAATGTGTAATGAAATTTTCTGATAACATTGATGATAGATATTGGGTGATACATATTCCATATCAAAAGACTACTTTACATTATATTTTCGTGGCTATTTTTGGTCAAATTATAGGGTATACCAGTATATGTTGTAATTTTAACGTTAACAAATATAATTGAATACGAGCAGAGAAATAAAGCTTTATTATTACCGGTAATATAATAACTGTAAGGGTACTATTCCTATTAAAAATATACTATGTGATGTTCTTTGAAGTTTTATTATGTAAATCTATTAGGCTTTATTGAAAATCTTGTTAATTAACAGATGTATAAAAAAAATTTCTATAATATTTTTCATAGACCCTATAACTGTTTGGGAATCAATTTTTGGATGGGTCAAAAAGGTTTTCTTAAAATTAATTCTCATCCTAATCTATTATAGTAACTTACCACTGTGTCACACACTTCAAAACAAACACTTGCGATATGTTTTAATAAATTATGTAGGAAAAGTGAAACTTGATTTATTGAGCATTAACTTTGGTAATTACTGTACTGTTGAATGAGAAAAGAACCTAACCTCCTGCATCACAGATGGCAAATGCAATTGTTTCTATAACTGAACCACATCCATTCATAACCACCATCTATACATAAAATCATGGAAAATAGCAATATTATTTACATATTATCCCAATATTATTTATGCACTGTACATATTATTTATGCACTATTATTAGGCATATTTAATATATATATTATTAAGATGTTATTCTTTACATGTTATTTACTTACATATCTGTTATATATAGTATTATTTTTGACATTACTATTTACATCACTTTATTTCAACAATACTGCATATTATACTCGCATATAAGATGACCCAAGATTTTAAGAAGATTTTTGGACGATTTTTGTAGGTGGGATGTATAAGATGACCTCCTGTTTCATCATCGGAATTTGTACTTTTTGGTGTTTTTATGGTCTTGATACTGCATCTAGCTGGCTAAAAACAGGGCCGAGTGTAGAGCCAATCTTCCAAATGATACCATTTTATGGGTTTTTAAACGTTCATCCAAATCTTATTTCCCCGCATTAAGTGCGTTCATTCATACCAAGTAGCTTCATTTATTGTGTTACATACAATCGTAAGCCGAACATCATTAAAAAATAAAAATTTTTGTATGTGTTGTGCATATAAGATGACCCCCTGTTTTTTGTTCATAATTTGCTATTTTAAGCAGTGCTTATTTCCATACATTTACATATATTTATTTTTGCATATATATTTACATATATTTTTGACTAATTATTCAATTAAAAAAAAAATATATTATTATGTTTAGATCCTCTATGTTTACCTTATTAGGATCAAGAGGGAATTAGTTGCTTGACTTATAACGTATAATTATTTACATCAATTATTAATTTAACAATACTTACTGGATTTCCATACTGTTACTATATACTAATTTTTTTTTTAAACTTTCATTTGTAAAATTATTTTTTACGTTACATATGTTAAAATGCAATTTTTTCATGCACTAATGTATTCCCTTTAGAGCATGGAATATATCTATACTAATTGCTAACTGTATATTCTCCCACTAGTGTAGATCAACTTGTTTACCTTATTAGGATCAAGAGGGTTTGCTGCATTGCTTTTAGCTGTCAGAAATTCAGCAATTGACTCCCGCAACTCATAGATGTAGGCCATGGGGTGAAGCTCAAAAGACGTCTAGAAAACGAATTCCGTTCCGATTTTTTCATTATA